TTATGCTTTTATATTATCAAATGCATGCCCATATATGTATAGTTATATAAGTAATGTTTAAAGGACTTAGGGAGGCTAACTCACTCTATTTCCTTTTCCTTGTTGGGATGTGGCTATGGGGTATCGGTTATCCGTCCGAATGTCGTTTGAATATTAGTTATATATCATGCGTACATATGTAGACATAAAAGTTTTCCTCAGTCAGTTCAGTACCTTTGGGTAGCAAAGGCAATCTTCAGGTTATACATGTACAAGTTAGTAACTATTATAGGTATAGTTAGGAGATACCACTTACTATTCCAAGTATAGGGAAATCACACAAGAGTCGGTTCATTCATGAGTCTATACTAGTACATTACATGATACATGAGTACGTTTACATAGATACGCTTACATGAGTACTTTTACATGAATACCTTTACATAAATACTTTTACATATATACTATATGATAAGATACTATTACATATTATTAGTGTAGATATTATTAGATTAGATCTTTCGGTCCTCGTACCAAAGGATACTATAAGGGGTTAACTAGTCCTAATCCCTCAGTTAGCTACAAAGGTAAATGCACATCTGCAAATGTCTACGGTTGATAGCATTACACGTATACTTTAAGGGACTAACTATACCTACACCCAGTTGTTAGCTACAGAGGTAAATGTACATCTACGGATGTCTTAAGTTAACATTGTTAGTTATCCTAGTACAAAAGGATAATACTTAGGTCATTATATTATTTCTTCCTTTACTTTGTGACACATTCACATGATCGACGAGGTAGGATATATTTGATACAGATAACTAATTTCCTTATTACCTTTATAATGTGACTCATACACATAAACGATGAGGTATACTATAGTTTTATACTAATAGTTAAAACAGGGAAAAACCATCACATTTACAGAGATGCTTACCTTCAAAACAGCAGGGTCTTGGTAGAAGACTTCTTTTATAGGGATCATAGGGATTTCTAGGGTTATTCAAACGCTTTCCATTACTTACAAACCTTTACATACTTATACGAACTTTCTTTCAAAACAATGTCAAGACTTTCATTACAAGTTTTACAAATCAAGACACATTAATACTTATGAATTCACCACCTTTATTGCTGATACTCGCATTCAAAATAACTTGTATTCTCAGGTCACAAATAGACAGGTACGACGACCAGACTTTGTGAAGACGGAGCAGTCCAGACTCGTCTTATTTTCTGATTGTTCATTTCATTGTTGTATATTATGAAAGAACACACTTGTAATTACAATTATACTATTAATTCAATGGATGATGTTGTTGCTTGTTTACTACTTTAGATTTTTGTGATACATTACATGACGTCCTCCGCCCCAGAATGGTCCGTCGTTCTCGGTTTTGGGGTGTGACAACTTTAACTTAAATGAGCGAAACAGTAAGGGTGTTGCACATCCACATCCCAACAGTTCAAAGAAGAAAATACCCCAATCAAGAAAACTATCAGGGTCTAGTGGAGTCAAAATCGAGGAAAAAATCATTCAGCAACAGCCCTCTGCTCCAGATGTGGTAGAAAGGATTTCGAATTCTTCAATTTTCAATCCCTAACCTGGTTGATGAAACTGTGAGGAGTTATTTACCATTGTTAAAGGATTTGCTCGACTCACAAAACATGGGTGGTGGCAATTTCAGGGGATTAGCTCAAGAGGGATAACTTTTGATCCTTTTTCTTTTTTCGAACGATTTGTTGATGTCTTCATATTGATCTGAGTTTGATTTTGCTGCATGGCTGTGATGGCAAATGTGCAAATAATTCCAAGGAGCAACTGGGTTTTTAGATTGGGTGGAGTTTAATGGAGATTGAGGTGTATTGAAATAAATGTAAGGGGAGTGGGAGAGAGAGAGAGAGAGAGAGAGAGAGAGAGGTGGGCCCCAAATTAGGTAATTATTTTATTTTTCATTTAAATTAAATAGAAAGGGCATTAAAAAATATATCAGAATGGCAGAATAGTCTTTTCAGTTTACTGAGAGACCAAAAATACAAAGAAACTAACTAAAAAGGACCATCAATCCAAAAGAATCGTGGTTTGAACTAAAACCTCAAAATTTTGCATACCACAGGGACCATTTTTGCAATTTTGTCTTTGTTTTCTCGTTTGAACTTTGATATGTTATAATTCTGAATATTTTTTTAATTATTACTAGGTGTGAGACCCGTATATTATACGAGTTGATTTTAAAAATGATTAAACATTAAAGTGTAAATAGAAAATATTTTTTAATATACAACTTTAAAATAAGAATGAAAGAAACGTATTTATTATAATTTATATATATATATATATATATATATATATATATATATATCATATTTAATACTTTACATATATAAATATATGACTTTAATTAAAAATTGAAACAAACCAAAAATTAACAAGTGAATAATATTTATTTCAAAATTAAAACAAAATGACAAGTATCAAAACTCATGAGAGATTGACATGTGGCAGAAAAAAAAACTTTTATTTATTAAGGAGGATCTATATGGTTTTGGTTTGAAGTTTTAATTCCGGCCCCTCTGGTTACATTGCTTGTGTTCCGCCCCTGTCCAATGCTCACCTATCACATTGATTAGACAAAATCATCTCACTCCCGTTATCCCACCCCTCCCCCTATACAGGCAATTTAGTCACACGAAAATAAGAAAATGGTCGAGTTATCCGGATCAAGTAGCTAGGTACACTCTTTGGAAAATAATTTTGTGATAAGTGTAGCCCACACACATCACATCAAATAGTAAAAAAATTGTAAAAAGTTACAAATAAAGATTGTTTTAGAAGGCAAAATACTTAAACACAAACCAATGATATTGATGCAACAAGGAACGGCTTGTTGGATAACTACCGAAAACTATGGTTTGCACTAACATTTTTTTTTAAATTTATGTTCATATATCTATATATCGTGATGTTTATTACTTGTTTTGTCTTTGACACTAATAGATAACAATAGGAATGTTATTAAAGGTGTTTTTGTCGAACCCTAGTATCCTTTTATCACGTTCTGTAAGACCCTCAAAAACAATCCATTTAGAACAATGGGTCCCAAATGTTCTTCCACAAGAAACTCTTAAAACGAAGGATGTTTGAGTTGTTCCTTTCTTTTAGGGTTTTGGCACTTGTCCATCAAACCCAAACTCTTTAGGTTAACATTAGATATATTTACCTCGTTGATCTAATCATTGATTCAAAAGCAAGCTTTGCATGTGATCGATTTTTTTAATAAAATTTTCTATTCTTTTTTTTTATTATTTATAAAGTTTACCATCTAGTGATAGATCATTTCTAAAAGCTATGGTATATGAAAAAGAAAAAGGATGGAATCAATGCGTCAAAGCTGAGGGATATATATATATATTTTTTATTATTTTACTTGTATTTTCCTAATGAAAGATTTTGATACTGTGTTTGATTAAATAAATCAAAAGAAAACTTTAAACAAGAATCAATACGTCAAAACTGAGGGATATATATATATATATATATATATATATATATATATATATATATATATATATATATATATATATATATATATATATTTTGTTATTTTACTTGTATTTTCCTAATGAAAGATTTTGATATTGTGTTTGATTAAATAAATCAAAAGAAAACTTTAAACAAGAATCAATGCGTCAAAGCTGAGGAATATATATATTTTTGTTATTTTACTTGTATTTTCCTAATGAAAGATTTTGATATTGTGTTTGATTAAATAAATCAAAAGAAAACTTTAAACAAGAATCAATGCGTCAAAGCTGAGGAATATATATATTTTTGTTATTTTACTTGTATTTTCCTAATGAAAGATTTTGATATTGTGTTTGATTAAATAAATCAAAAGAAAACTTTAAACAAGAATCAATGCGTCAAAGCTGAGAGATATATATATTTTTTTGTTATTTTACTTGTATTTTCCTAATGAAAGATTTTGATATTGTGTTTGATTAAATAAATCAAAAGAAAACTTTAAACAAGAATCAATGCATCAAAGCTGAGGTATATATATATATATATATATATATATATATATATATATATATATATATATATATATTTGTTATTTTACTTGTATTTTCTTAATGAAAGATTTTGATACTGTGTTTGATTAAATAAATCAAAAGAAAACTTTAAACAACATGACGCCGATATCTGTGGATATCTTTGATAGGTTATAACTTATATATAGTCCTAATAAAAGATTTTGATACTGTTTGAGTAAATAAATCAAAAGAAAACTTTAAACAACTTGACATCCATATCTTTGATATGTTATATATAGTCGGTAAGAATGTTATGGAATTATAGCTTTTTTTGGTGACAACTTGGAAAAGTTAAGTTGCACTCATCATTACTTGGTCTTGTGGGAGCCCAACAGAGGCCATTAAAATGTGGCCATCCATCCAACTTGCATTATCCTTTTGAACTATGCTTTTGTCCTTTTTTTTTTTTTTCTTTATGTAATTATGTGGAATTTGATATAAACGTATTTTAAAACTATAATGGTTCTTTTTCTTTTTCATTACTCTCATATGGACTTTGTGGCATTGATCATTTACTTGACATTTCATAATCAATCAACTAATGATCCCAAATCCTACTAGTTTTTCAAAAAGGAAATACGTTGTTCAAGGTTTTAACGTTTTAACTGTGTTCGCATGGATAACTACAACTTGTTTAAGAACATGGATATTGTTTTGACATGCATAACTAGAAACTTCATAACGATATTCAGGATGACATCTCATCCTAGGTTTGAAGTTGGGTGTTTGTCAATTATCATAACCTTTTTCTTATAATAATGCTACGTAACAAAGTTTCAAGATCTGAATCCATCATTATTAATTATAACTATCAATTCATCGATGAAGAAAGGGTAAAAGAAATTGTTAATTCCCAATTATGATCTTTTGTATCTTTTAGAAAGAAGCCACATTTTGATCACAAAATCTAAGGAGTTGGCCACGTTGAAGCTTTATGAATGTGGCAAAACATACGACCCCAGATGACCTTCCCTTTAGGGGAAAACAGCAGACCTAATTGGTCCCATTCCCTCAAATCAAGAACTTTCCGATCATATATATGTTTTGTGAATCTGCTCATCCCAATGCAGAAACATTAAACCACCATGGAGAATCATCCCCGGCATAAAAGCAATTCCTCCGGCGACAACTTTACTTTTCCGGCGATATCACCAGACATGGAATTAGATTCCGAATTAGCAGACCATTTGTTCTCCAATGGCAAATTCCTCCTCCACACTTTTCCCGTTCAGCCAAGAAGCTTCACCCTTTCGAGAACAAGCAGCGTTAGTAGTAGTAAAGATTCACTCGTGTCATCCAGGAGCAACAGTACTAACAGCCGAACCAGCAGCAGCAGCAGTAGCAGTAGCAGTTGCAGCAGCGCCAGAACAAGCACCAGTGACGCTTCCGCCGGAGTTGCTGTGAAAAGCAAGATCTTCCTTGAAAAAGGAAGTCGGAGCCCTGTTCGTTACTGTAACAATTATCATCATCTTCCCGCTCAAAGGTGGCAGTTCATGGCGCCGGTTCCGATGCTAAACCGCCGGCCGTCCCAGAGAAGAAAAGGTGAAGAGAACAGAATTGGGTCGCCGGAGAAGAAGAAATGCAATCTGAAAAAAGGGTACTGCCGGAGGCTTTTCCGGTGGGTTGTGTCAACATGCAAAAGCTGTCATGCTATGGAGCCTTAGACTGCTCAATTTTCAATGTTTTTTCCTTCTAATTTCGCTAATTTGATCGTGGGATTTTGTCTTTATATCAAAAAGTTTGACTAAGTTAATCCAAACGAGATACATAAACATCTAAAAAGATCAAAAACGACTACTAAACATTACGAAAAACAACGATTACTAAACATATCACTCCAAGAAATTCTCCATAACATCGTTGTACATAGCAGCCTCGGGATTATGTTTATCATGATTCAAATTCTGGCCACCGTCTGGCTGCTTTCCACCACCGAGCCCTTCTTCTGCATTGAACAAAAGCTCCGCATCATCACTTCTTCCGGTGAGTGCATTAAAGAACGACAGCCCATTAGGCCATTTGATGTCGCTTTCAACATGATCAGAACCCATCATATTTCCCATTTGTGGTTCAGATGAATGAGGAAGAAGGAACATGTGAGTCTCGTCTTTAGGCGCAAACCCTAGTCTTGTAGGATTCTGGAAATTTGGCGATTGCATTGGCTTCTGCGCCGCCCAGTTGAAGGCGGCGGGTGGTGGTGAGTGGATCGGGATTGTTGATTGCTTTAAGGGATTTGAAGATGTCGATGCGAATAATTGGGATAGATAGAAACCAGATTGGTAACCAAGTGCTTCAAAGGTATGTCTCATTCGAAGCACAAAATGAAGGTCTTCAGGTACCTGATCACACATAAGCACATACAGATTGGTTTTCGTTGGTTAAAGATGATAAAAAAAATGGTGGATCACGGGAGAAGAAGATACTCACAATCTTGCAAGAACCAAGTTGCAGAAGCCCATGGCCAGCTTGTATTACAGCTATAGTCTACAAAACAGAAATCAAAAGGGAATGATCGAAAATCGAAATGATTAAAAAGAAACAAATTGCGAAATCATTATAAAAGATTTTCACCTGGATTCCAGATTCAAACTGTTCATTCCATTCGGTTGGAAGCTGAAAATCAGGAATTTATGAGGTCCAATTATTGATAATGATTACAAGAACATGAAAGTAGGAAACTAAAAGAAATCTATAATTTAAATATTTAATATCTAATTATTAAGCAACAGTACAGTGTGTGTTTGAAGGTGTTAAAGTGTGTGTTCTTGAGAAACATACAGCATCAAAAGAACTTTGCCAATAGTTAGAGATGCTCTGATCACATTCTGAAGGTTCTTTGAATACCCATTTGTGACACTTATCAGAAGCAACTTTCCCCATTAACCTGCACCTCGATCAAGAAATCAACCAGGATCAGGAAAATAACCGAATGATAAATCTATATTTTGACACTCTCTTGTTCGTCTTTGAGCTTAATTAGAGGTTATAAGGTCATCTTCAATACATTGAACTCAAATGAGTTCATTGGATTGAACATGTACATTCCACTCACAATACAATTTTACCTATTAAACTCTACACTCCATTAAACTCAATACAATTTAATGGATTATGTGTGTGAGAGGATTAAATTAAACTCCCATTAGAGATAGCCTAAATCCAGTAATTAAAAATAAACACCTACCAAGTACCCACCCTTCTCCATAATTATACAACTGAATTGACATTTTGCTGAAAGCTTTTCTAACAGGATCGTCTCCTGCATCCATGTCTTCTAAGCAGTCCGACATTCTTCCTCTGCAAAACCCATCTTCCCACATCAACATCCTGCAAGAAACCATGGCGAACTGATAAACAAAAACCAGAAAATAATCACACCATATCTCATGAGCGAATATCCTCTGCTTTAGAAGAAAGTTTACAGTGACTTACAGGCTACCGATGTCGTCTCCAACTTTACAGCCATTACCACCTCTAACTCGCCTGAAAAAATGGCGGAAAAAACACCCATTTCAGCAAACATGAAGAATACAAGTGGGTTGATTTGATTTACGACATATATAAACAGAAATTTACGGGCGAGGACGAGTGGTCCAGAAAACAGAGTAAGTCCAGTCAGAATTAAGACAAACACTTCGTAAAGCTTCATGAAGAGCCATCATTCCAACTGCTTCTTTGTTTCTATCTGTAGTTCCTGAGCCCACCATCTTTCTCTCTCCCCTGTCTCCTCTCTTTAGTTACTTTTAGGGTTTTTGTAGCAGCTTTGATCAACTATTCAAGGTTCACAAAGGGGGAGAACACTGGCGTATCATGAGTTCATACCCATGTGTTAAACACTGCTAATCCGAACAAAAAAAAAAAGGACCTAAAAAGAAGCCAAAAATGGAAGGTGTTTGAGTTCGTTGCTTATGTAGAGCTTTTTATGCCATGGTTGTGAGCTTGGTTTTACCAGGGGAAGAAGAAAGGCGGTGAGTGTTTAGGGTTTGGTTTACCTTTTAACTTTAACTACTCCTCTCTAATCCACTTATTTATTTTGTGGGTTAGAACCATTGATTAACCCACCAAAATCTTGAAAATCTTTAAATGATTGACACTTTAACTCGTTCATGTAATAAATAAATTTCATCTGAAAACAAGTTCATTTAATCTTTACCACATAGACTTTATTTTTACATGAGTAAAGGTCATTTGTCTGTATTCGGTTTATTTCATATATCACTTTTCTTTTCTTTGCTTTGCTTTTCCGTTTTATATACCATAAAAGTTCCAACTTTTGCAACAACAAAAAGGGTGGCAAGTGAGGTCTTAAAATGGTAGTGATTTGGGGTTGTTTGGATCGGGGAAAAATGAGGTTAGCAAGGTCACAATCCATGACCAAACACACCCCTCAATGGTATGGTGGAAGGTTTGTTAAGGACATTGAGGGTTTGGCAAAATAGAATCTTTACTGGTCAAAAGCACAATAGGATTTTCAGGGTTAGATTTCGATTGTTATTTTATTAGATATGGTCTTCAATCATAATCATAATATCATGCTTAAATTTATCACACTCGATGTTGAACAGTTGAAGATCTTATGCATTTGACTTTTGTTTAGTGAGATATAGAAATAAAAGATAATCCTAAAACCACTTATTTGTCCAGAAGTGTATTAAATGTTTATATTATATAACAGCTGGAAGCCGTATAAAATATTATTTTAATAAAAATTCTTTTAGAAACAATTTACATATATAACTTAAGATATTTTAGTTAAGTGTGGCGTTATATAAATTAAGGGAAGTGATTCGTACACAACAGTTTTTTGCCGTACACAACAATTTATGCATTATAAAGTTGTACAATACAACACTTTAAAGCACAAATTGTTGTGTATGGAAAAAAAAATGTTGTGTACGAATCAGTTCCCATAAATTAACAGGAGATTATAAGGTGGTCACATGCACACGTGCCATGGCCGTGCATCGGTGGATAAAGAAAGTCTGTTGCACTTGCATAAATTGCGGGGACACATTGCGTCTCTTGTTCTAACATACCTTCAAGAGCGAATGGTGTATTCACGCGCTAGTAAATGGAATACTTGATAATTGGGAGTAATGTGGACGACCGCTGCATGCGCGTGGGTCAAACAACCATCCACTCCGGTTTAACCGCCCAAGGCCACGGCTACGGACCCCACCAACATATCTTTGTGGGTCCCAATTTCGTTTTCCTAATTTTCCTCCAACAATAACGTCAGCTGGTATATATATGGTAAATAAAATAAACAACGATCCTTTTATAGTTTAATTTTTTATTGCATTTTATATTGTTAAATGTATTACTCTGTTAGGGACGAACTTTAGAACCGAATCTGTTCGAAAACTGTTTTTCTATATTATAAGAACCGGGAACCAGACCGTCGGTTCCGGTTTTTCGATTATTTTTCAAACTATACCGGTTGAAATGTTATAGATGATATGTTATTTTTCAGAGCTTATAAATGATTCAATATTTTAACCAAATTATGATTTTTTACATTTTAAATTGAAGTAAAAACACTAAATTACATGATGAAAAAATATCAAGGAATGTCGATTCCATATGAGTGAGTTATGCGCATTCTAAAAGCGGGATAAATCCCAAAAAATAAAAACAAAATGTTGAAACAAAAAATACGCAACTTTGATATGTTGTCTTCCGGGGTCTATAACTGATTCAATTTCTAACTAAAATATGTGTTTCTACAATCTAAAATGAAGTACAAACAAAAAATTACATGCTGAAAAAAAAATAAGTAATTCCAACATCATACGAATGAGTTATCCATATTTAAAAAAACAAGACAGATTCAAAAAAACAAAAACAAAAATGTTGAAATAGAGAAAACGCAGCATTAATATTCTTTCTTTCAGGGCATGTGTCTGATTCAATATTTAACCAAAATATATTTTTGAATAGTCAAAAATGAATTACAAAATCCAAATGACATGCTGGAAAAAAAAATCAAGTAATTTCGATTTCATATGAGTGAGTTATGCACATTTTAAAAATGAAAAAAATATCAAACAGGTTGGTGTTTTTAGAATCGGGACCGATTTTCATAAAAATTGAGAACTGGTAACCAGACCTTATTATCAATTGCGGTCCAGTTTCGGTTCTATATGTTCTAGTGCTCATCCCTAAAATGTATTATATTATTAAATTTCATTTTAAACAAATCTAATTATTAATAGAGAAATTGAAAAAGGATAATCTAACAAATTATTTTTCAAAAAATAATCAAAATCTAACAAAACGTTAAAAAATAATCATGAATTTCATAATCATCAAATAATCTTGTCTTTGCTCAAATTTATTTTTTATAATTTTTTCATAAAAACTTCATTTAATCATTCGTTTTAATCAATATTTTGTTTATTTGATTCGATTCAACGGATTTTTAAGTAATTTTGGTATAACTATGACTATCTAAATTAATTTAATCACTTTCTAGTAATTTCATTCGGTTTAATCGTTAAACACGATAAAAAATCATATATTACTAATATTGTATTTTACTATTATTTGTATGCAATCATCGACCTAAAATATAGTTTTTATTTTTGTTTGGTCAAATTAGCTTTCCACAAAATATAAAATAAAAATAAAAAAATAGGAGGATTTTGAAATTGTGTTCTATGGTTAACTTTTATATATATATATATATATATATATATATATATATATATATATATATATATATATATATATATATATATATATATATATATATATATATATATATATATATATATATATATATATATGGAAAAATTCAATTGAGAAAAAAAAGTTGATAATTAGGGAATCATTCTCAGCCACTCATTTATTTTTGCCGAAAAAACCTTCGTCGTAACAGCGGAAATGAGCAACGAATAAAGTTATTTCCTTAAATTATGCTAATCATTACCTTAATATATACAAAAATAAAGTTTTTTCGTTTTTTTATTTTTTTATTTTTAGAAGCTATTTTTATCAAAAAAAAAAATGATTTTAAATATATACCAAAATTCATGATTTTTTATTCTCTACAAGTAGATATCTATATTGATATAATTTTAAGATAAAATAAAAAAATTATATTTTCAACTATCGTTATTCATAAGTAAATAAAATGCACCAGGTTTTATTACAGTACATTCGTTATTCACTTATGAATAAAAGTATGATTATTTTTTTTACAATTTAAGTATCATTCATATATAATATAACATATAATAAACATAGTATATTCATATTTTAATATTTGACGATGATTCACTTGTGAATATTAACATAGTATATTCACTTGTGAATATTAAATTGTATATTCACTTATGAGTATTAAATGATATTTCATATGTGAATATTACATAGTATTACATGGTATATCACATGTGAATATTACATAGTATATTCACTTGTGAATATTAGATGATATATTCACTTATGAATATTACACAATATATTCACATATGAATATTACAATGTACATTCACTTGTGAATATATTCACTTATGAATATTTGAAGGTATTTTGGCAAATATATATAATTTTTATATGTTATTCACATATGCATAAGATATAGACTTGCATATTTGTTTTGTGTTTTTAATAATCATATACTGATTTAGGTGAGAAAACATATTCATATGTGAATATAACGTGGTAATTTAGTTTATGCATTTCATCAAACAATTGGAGTGCATACAAGTTAACTATTTTAAAAATATTAAAAACATCAAGTTATCAATTCCAAATCATCATATACTTCCGATTTCGACTTCAGATGCGATATCCTATGTCTAATTGATTTCTCATTTTGATTTTGATTTTCGAAAATCCGATTGGGAACCTATGAGTACCGATTTTGAGTCCTTTAATGTCGATTGTAACTGCGAGTCCAAAACTCCGATTCCAATTTCATGAACAACGAAGAAATTCCGATTCCAACTGATTTCGTTTGCGAATCTGGGAAATTCCAGTTCCAAATTCGTTATGAACTTTAACAAATGCTTACAAGCTACGAACATTCGGAGTATTCAACAAAGAAATCGATGAAATTGATGAATTTGGGTTACGAATCTGTCTTGAACGGCGAACCTTCCAGCCACGAATATCGATGATTAATTAACATTGGATGACATTGATGATGGTTTAGTTGAAGAAATCTGGATGATTATTGAAGGTTGGAGGAAAATTTTTGATGATGAACGAACTGTTATCGAATTCTCTATAGTTACGTATTTGAGATTGAAGGTTATTAACATATTTAAAGTTTGTCACCGTATCTTTTTATGCTTAGATTAAATGAGTGGCTGAAAATGATTATCTCATTCTCAACCTTTTTATTTTCTCAATTGAACCAACCTATATATAGAGGAGGGTTCAATTGAAAAAAAAAAGGGTTGAGAATATCATTCTTAACCACTCATTTATTTTTGCCGCAAAAGCTTCCGTCATATCAGCAGAAATGGGAAATGAACAAACATGTGTTTTCCAACAAAACATGTTTCTTTAAACTATGCTAAACATTACCTTAATATATACAAAAACATAGTTTTTTCTTTTTTTCTTTTTTTTAATTTTTAGGAAGCTATTTTTATCAAAAAATGATTTTAAATATACCATGAGTTTTTATTCTCTACAAATAGACATCCATATTGATATAGTTTTAAGATAAAATAAAAAAATTATTTTTTTATATTTTCAGCTATCGTGATTCATAAGTGAATAAAAATGAATCAGGTTTTTAGTACAGTACATTCGTTATTCAATTATGAATAAAAACTATGATTAATTTTTTTTATAATTTAAGTATCATTCATATATGAATATAGCATATACTAAACATAGTATATTCATATTTAAATATTAGATGATTCATTCATTTGTGAATATTACAAAGTATATTCACTTGTAAATATTAGATGATATATTCACTTATTAATATTAGATAATATTTTTATATCTGAATATTACATAGTATCACATGGTATATCACATTTGAATATTACATAGTATATTCACTTGTGAATATTAGATAATATATTCACTTGTGAATATTAGATGATATATTCACTTATGAATATTACACAGTATATTCACATATGAATATTACAATATGTATTTACAAATATATATATATATATATATATATATATATATATATATATATATATATCTTTACTATCTTATAAAAGAAATCTAACTATTTCTAAAAATAGATTGATTATAATAATAATATTTTTTTAAGACGTCCAAATGATGAAGCTGATAGTACAACTAGCCATTAATAAAATAATATTAAATTTTAACCACATTTTGAATTCAAATATTTATCATCAAATCTCCTTATATTTCTCAGCAATTTGATATGGTTCCCTCAAATCCCGGATTCATTCAAATTTTGAACCCTTTTCGATATCCTTAAATTTAGCATGTTAATTTAAATATCCCTCCAATCGCAGATACCTCTTTGTTCCCTCGTCTGCTATAAAGCCCACCGTCTAGGAATAAAAAATGACTTCATCTCCCAAATAACACCATAGTTTGATTATTTTGTCTTCAACATGTACTTTCTTTTGTAACATAACATTTTTGTAGAGGAAACAAATCACCGAAAAAATTTACACACCCCGCCGCTTTGTGCGGGTACGCTGCTAGTATATATATATATATATATATATATATATATATATATATATATATATATATATATATATATATATATATGTAAAAGCCTTTTTATTATGGTGGCTTGAAACTCAAATTCACACTATTCCAAATACGCCACGTAACCTGCCTTTGTGCCCGACACAACGTACCAAAACGTCTTTCTTCACCTCTCCTTCAATGTTTCATCTTCTTCACATTGCAAGACCCACCGACTCAACGATTCTCCTTCTCCTCTAAACGTAACTCCTGCTTCCTCCCCCAACAAAGAATACCAACGACATCATCCGGAAAAAAAAACCCTAATTTTGCGAGCAAACATTTGTCAAATTCATCAATGTCGCTTGATCACTGATATTGATTTTCATAGTTCCTTCAATAGAAAACACCAACCACCAGACACGAAAAGAAACCCTAATTTTATGTCCAAATAATTTGATAACACTTGTCTGTCCCCTAGAGAATTGAATGGTGTAATATGGTGGAAATCAAATATTCATCATCATCATGGCGCCTCTTTGCTCTGTTTCATATGCTTTTAACATAAATCACTCATCTCTCTCTCTTTCTCTCTCTCTC